CTCTCTCTCTCTCTCTCTCTCTCTCTCTCTCTCTCTCTCTCTCTCTCTCTCTCTCGTTTTAAACGGCCCAGTTGAATCGATATCACAAGGAAAAGTGAAACGGTTCGCGTGCTATATAACTTTTGTAAATCCGATCCCGGAAATCATCCAATTTGTTCGCGACGAAAATTAAGAAGCCGTTAAACTCGATAAAAAGTCGACCGTGATATAATTCCGAACGGAAAGATACCAGATAAAAATGGAAATCGAGGGATGATAACGAACGAACGAACGAAAGAACGGAAGAAGAAGAAGAAAAAGAGACAAAACAAAGAAGAAACAAAAGTATACCAGTGATAACAGCATTTTCCTGCTATCTCTACCGTATTAATTCACGATTTAACACGATTTTAAAACTTCCATATAGTATCCTGCGAATCGCGTGTAATAACTTGTTACGTTATAGAAATCATTTCCGAAATATTTTGTTATATTTTCAAAAATAATTTCTTACGAAATGAATGATTTTAAAAAAAAGAAATTATCTCATTTCCTTTCACAGTTTGTCGTCCAAAAATCTATGTTATATTAATTATAATATACTCAATGTAATGTGTACGCGCGTATACTAGTTACCATATATTTGCGAACATGATAATAGCTAATATATATGTATAATATATAGATGGATTTAACGCTGATGTTAGCACGAAGCAACGACAAGAGTTGCTGATTCGACGATACATCTTATATTTCCCAAGTGACCGAAGACGAAGATAAAACACAAAATCGGAGAGATAGGTTAGATAGAGGTATCTGTAGAACAGTCAGAGTTTCTAGTAGTAATCATTGAGCATCCATAAAATGGAAACGATCGATGGAAATTTCCTTCCTTCCTATCTTCTTTCCTTCCTCCTTTCCAATTGCATACATATGCATGTACTCCTACTCAAAGTATACCCTATCTTTTATAATGTTACCTATATTCCTATATTTACATCGAATAAAATAAGTCAACGTTTTAATTACTTTACATAGAAATAAAATTTTACGTCATTTCGTCCGGTAAATTAAATTGAAAACTATCAATAAGCAAACCGAGCGCCTGTACGATGATGACTGGTACAACGTTAATGATATAAATTAATACCGAATTAATGTCGGTATTTTTGGTATTACGATGAAAATTCAGGAAATATGTAATACTTTAATACGACCACACACAACTATCACGTTTATTACTTTAACGATAAACATCCCAAGAAACGTGAAAACAGAAAAAAAAAAAAACCCATGTACGAAATATTACTCTACCATTCGATAAAATAAAAGTTAAAAATAATATTGTTACGCATCGCGTATCGATAAGAAATCTTTTTTTGCAATTTTGTTCTTTTCATTTTCAAGATTAATGATTATATTTAAAACGTTGATTCATTTTCTGTTTGTTTATCTCAAACAAAATATTCAAATATACTGATCATTTATATTCGACAAAATATTGACCAAATAAATAGAAATCTGGCTCTCGGGAAAGACAAAAAAAAAAAAAAGAAACAGGCAAGGCAAGGGGGAAACGCTACTCGAAGTTTATTGGATGCACCGTTGGTCCGCGTCAAAGAGAAGCAAGAACCGTAAAATCACGTAAAATTAAATATCTCGACTGCCTTGACTCCGAACAACGAACGATAAATTTTCAAGTAAACGAAAAGATACCTATCTATCCTCCTATAGGGGTATATATAAAGTATATTTGACAAAAAAAAAACATGAACAAAACGAATGGAAATAACTCGCTTGCAACTTGCATCGATTACTATCCTCGAAATGAAAAAGAGTGGGAGGAGGAAAGAAGGAAGAAAGAAAAAAAGATAAAAAAGAGTAATAATAATAAAAAAAAAAAAAATACAAATAGAGAAAAGATAAAACGTTTCCGAACGATTCGTTCTTCTAATTTCCGTGTACTCTCATTTCTCGGAACCCCCACCCTTCTTTTGCCCCCCCCCCACGAAAAAAAGAAAAGAAAAAAAGCGAGAAAGAATTACGAGAACTCATTGGTATAGGAGTTGTACTCATGGATTCATGGATTTCGGATACGGCGAAGGGCAAATGGCCGTTACCAAAGTATAAGAACGTTTCTCTCGAGACGTAGAAAAGCTCAAAGCGCCGGAACAGCAGTGGTAAGTGTAGTTTCCGGTACCATTACCGGTCCGAGAGAAGGCTGAGCTGCTGCGTTAGAATCGGTTCGTACATTTCTTCTTCTCCATGGAATCGTGACGAGTTCTCTCTCTCTTTCTCCCCTCTAGTAACCCGTAAAAATCTCCTCAGCGAATTGCAAAGAAAAGCTCGAAGGTTGCTGGTGCTGCTGCTACTGCTACTACTACTGCTATTGCTACTGCTGCTGCTTTTCGTAAAGAACGTTGGAAGAAGTTCGTTTATTGAAAGACCCAACAGAATCGAAAAGTCAACGCTCTCTTCTATATTCTCTCGATAGGAATAAATTTAATTCTTTATTCTTTTCTTTTTAATTTTTTATTCTTTTCTTTTTAATCCTTTCCTTTTTATCTTCTTCTTCTTCTTCTTCTTCTGTTTTTTCTTTTGTCGAACAAATCGCACAAAGTACTTTACTTATATACTTATAAAACAACCAACAACCCCCAAAGCTTTTTCTTTTTTTTTTTGTTCTTTCTTTATTTTTGTTTGATTGAAATCAAATAAATGGGAAACACTTTAGTGCACATAGCAAAAACTAAACAAAGTCTCTTTCTCTCTCTTTTCATTCTCACTAGAGATTCGAATCTACCCTCTTCTTCTACAACACGTAGCTCATTTTTATTTGGGTTTTCTAATAAAAGCAAGCAACGATGGGTTCTCTCTAATTTCCCATTTGAAGCAGTTCGTCCGCGCCACGAGCGTCAGCCGCCACTCTTTGCCCGCCCACAAATCACCTTTAACCTTCTTCCTTCCTGTTATTCGACTTCAACTGAAACGTGCGTTTACCAATACACCGTA